CCGAGGCACGAATGATAATGTCTGAGCGTAGGTAAATGAGTCATTTGTTGTTGACGGAGGCAACCAACTGACAAGGCCTTGATCTATCTAGTCCGCGATCTAAAATCCGTTACTAATGATATTGCGTCCGACTTGAAGCAACTGAACCAGAGCCATCAGCGAAAGGCGCTGTACAAATGGCTAACGCCAGTCAACTCGTCAGCCCGGCACAGTGACCACCAGAAAGCCCGAGCAGAGGATACAGGGTTGTGGTTGCTGCAGGATGCGATATTTCAGGGATGGTCTTCAACCCTCGTCACCAACACAAAGCAGGTACTATGTTGTTTTGGAGATCCCGGTGTTGGAAAGACAATCTTGACGTAAGTGGTTACCAGGGTTCACGGGAACGTTCCCTGGTTTAGTGACTAACACTTTGATTATAGGTCCCTTGTCATTGATCACCTCGCAAGACGTATAGCTACCGACCCGAGTTCTGGATTAGCATATATGTACTGCGATTACCGAGACTCGATGCATCGCAAGGCAGAGAACATCATTGGAAGTATCATTAAGCAGCTCCTGGAGCGGCTGCCTCAAATTCCCGACACTATCACGCAAATCCACAAGCGCTGCATACGGGACAACCGGGCTATGGCACTCGAAGACGCGAGAAACATGTGCAGTGCAGCGATTTCCCAGTTCAGCAGAGTCTATATCTGCCTCGATGCCCTGGATGAGCTGGCACAGGCGCCTCTGCGAGATCTGATGAAGTGCCTGTGGGATGAACCATCCATGAGACTATATCTTACGAGCCGCACCCACGCCCAAGAAATTATTGGCGACTTTTTCGAGAACAAGCATACTATTATCGTCAAGGCTCAAGAGCAAGACATTCGACGTTTTATCGTACGCGAGATCGGGGGCCCTAATGACGTTGCACCCAATGCGATGGACAGCAAGCTCAAAGCAGATATAATTGCTACTGTTGTGGGGTCAGCGCGAGGGATGTGAGTGTAGCTCCTGTTCGAACTACTTTATTAAACGTTAAGAACAAGCTGGTTGACCACCACTTAAAACTATGTAGGTTCCTACTGCCAGTCTTGCAAGTCCGCGCCATCCTCCAAGCCGTAAGCAAGCGAGACCGCGAAGAGCGCCTGAGAACACTACCACAGGACCTCGGGGAAGCATTTGCAGGCTCTCTTTCTCGCATCGAGCAGCAGGCCAACCCTCTAGCAGAGCTTGCAAAAAAGGTGATTACCTGGGTGCATTTCGGCCTGCAAACGTTCACCGTTAAGATGCTGAAGACGATTCTTGCCACTAGAGAGGGTGACACGGAATTTGACCCCAGGGGGGAGCCGGATGTGGAGCCTTTGCTAGCCTGTTGCCATGGACTGATTGTTTTAGGGGATGGGACATCGACAATTCGTCTGGTCCATTACTCCCTGCACGAATTTTTTATTCACCAGGAGGAATTTTTTGGTCTGAGCAGGAGGCAGTGGCATAGTGCTCTAGCGGCCACTTGCCTTACGTTTCTATTCTTTCCGAACCCCGACGTGGATGAGGCAGAAAAGTACTTGCAAGACAGCGAGCACCTCAAAAGCAATCATGACGATAGCGATGGCGACAAATATGATGGCGGCGAGGACGATACCGACGAAAGTAATGGATACGAAGGCGACAAGGCTCCAAAGCTCAATAATCACAATTACTTACCATACTCCAGGACATGGGGCTATGGTAGCCGTACAGTGTTCGATTATGCAGCCCTAAACTGGGGCCATCACTTCCGCCAGAGTAATGAACTACCTGGGCCAGCCCACAAACTTGCCCGTCGATATCTCCAGAGCAGTAGGGACGAGATTGGGCCAAGCCTATCAAAGATCGAGAACATCTTATACAGAGATATTTACTACGTTGACGAGATAAAAGAAAACCTACCTTTCGAAGTGCTGGGATTTTTTGGCCTCACCAAGGTCGGCTTTGACTACTGGAACCGGAATCTAAACGCTTACCACGAGGAAGGGGACACGGCCCTGTCAATTGCCGCACGCATGGGACACAAAGACCTGGTGGCGCTGCTCATCCAGAAGGGCGCTATCATCAACATGACAAATTCAAATTCCGTGGGTCCTATCCACCATGCCATTGACAATGGACACGAAAGCGTGGTTAGGATGCTGATTGAAGCCGGCGCCAAACTCAACTATGACCCAGGTGCTCCAGGGGATACACCGCTGCGCTTGGCTGCGCGCCGGGGGCATGTGGAGATTGTCAAATACCTTATTCAGCGCGGCGCTGCACTCGACAAAGTGCCAAAGGGTGGTGCCAAGGAGACGGCGTTGGGCTGCGCCGCGGAAGAGGGACATGTGGAGGTGGTGAGAGTACTACTTGAAGCAAGCGCGACTGTGGATATAGGGCTTTTCACTCCACTATGTATTGCGGCTGGTAACGGGAATGAGGAACTGGTTCAGCTATTGATTAGTAAAGGAGCTGATCTGAACAGGGGCAGTGGTCATGGAAAGGACGAAACTCCACTTTTTGCTGCTGCCAGCGCTGGGTGTGAGCGAGTCGTTGATATCCTCCTCGGAGCAGGCGCTAGGGTAAACCTTGACGTCTGGAATAAAGTTCTGTATGTTGCGGCCCGCGGGGGGCACAAGGGACTGGTCCAGCTGTCCATTAGAGAAGGGGCTGATATCGACTGCTCTATCGGTTCAGAGAACAACGAAACAGCACTTCATGCTGCGGCACGGATGAATAATGTGGAAATGGTCAGGTTTCTTCTGAATCAGGGTGCCTCGCCAGATCCGGTTGATTCCAAGGGTGACACGCCACTGCTCCGAGCTTTGAAATTTGGGAAGATGAAGGCTGCGAGGGCGCTAATCAAGAACGGGGCGATGCTTGAAAGAGTCAACCAGTATGGCCTGACGCCTTTATTGTCAGCTACACTATCCGGAACGGTGGGAGCGGTCAAGTTGCTGATTGAGGAGGGCGCGGTAGTGGATCTCTGTGCCAAATTCTCGCCCGACTACGATGAGGACGATCGTGATTATCGGAATTATAGCGAGAAGGATAGTCTTGCTATTGGGGGCCTGGCTCGCATTATTGAAAGCAGTAGCGCGTGGGCCCATGAGGTAAGGCCCGAGCGCAAGCGCTTCATCAATCTGCTGCTACGGTGCAGTTTCTTCCCTTACCCGTGCCTTGCCACGGCCAGTTGCAAACAAACGGAGATCTTTAGACCCCTAGTCAAAGAGAGTGGGAAATTTCCTCGGGGGCCTAAAGAGATTAATGGACTACAGGCTGCCATACTAGAATCTTGGACCATACATAGAAATCCGGAATCAGAGTGGGAATGGCAACCTACCATGCGCCTGTTTCAGGGACTTGTTGGTGTCATGGAGGAGGTCCACTGGATTGGGACATTTGCTCTCGGTGTGTGCCATGAGCTCTTGAACCACGAATCCCATGCCTCACACTCCAATGAGGAGGTTGATAAGACCCTGGAGATACCGTCGCTACTTCTGGGAGCCAAGGACGTATTGGACCGACTGTGGCTAGTTGCCAAACGAGATATACTCTATAATGAAACAGTCGGCAGTGGAACAGGCCTATGGGCGTTGGGTGATGACGAGGAAGATGTTGAGAGTGCATTTAATGCATGTCCGTCGAACATCAGTGCGTTAGGCGACTTTTCATCAGACGAGTATGGAGCAGACGATGATACACCAGATGAAGACGCGTCGGACGAATTTGACGAAGGTGGATCAGACAAATACGGAGCAGGCGAATACGGAACGGATGAATATGGAGCAGATAAATACGGAGCGGACCAAAGTTCTTCAGACGCAGGAGTATCAGATAACTTTGCATCAGACAATGCATCGATCGACAATCCATTAAGATGGCGTGGATGGAACATGGAACGCCTCCCAGCAACCTTAGAGGATTACACAGCCGTTCTTAGGGCAGTGCGTTTTGTCCTTGAACCATGTGCCCAGAATACTAAGAAGGTATGTCTACTTCCTCCACCATATAGCGACAATAATAACCAGGCTCTACTAGAGTATGATGAGTGATGAACCGTGTCAGCTCGCTGAAAAAGCCTCAACGCTCATTCGTGTTCACACTGATTATCATGACAGACTTTCCACGGAAACGAACAAGCTGCATGAACTGTGGAACGAAAAACTGCAGTGTGACCGTTGGAATTAATGAGGGTGCCTTTCCGCATCTGGCGTGGGCTCTCCTATCACTATCAGCGTACTATCGTGTTGTCCATAGAGAAGCCAAACATCCCTCTAACCAAAGCCCTAGTAAAACCTAGCTGTATCATTGCTTCCATAGGTGTTGCTATGATGCTAATCAATCTTCACCAGTACTTCCACATTCCCGTAATTCCTACTTCAAGTATCTGTCTCTCCATTCTCGTTGCTATCCACTTCTTCTTTGCCTTTGATCTTGTCCAGGGTGAGCCCCACTTCTTCAAGTTGTTGTGACTCCTCGATGGTTGCTATTATCTGTATAGTTCTCTTTTTCCTTACTATCATTATCAGAATCATCTGTTTCACAGTTCTTCAGCCTACACCCCCAAGGCTAAGCTGCGAGCCCGTCCGGCGGTATAGTCTTCTATCCACATTCTATGAGTATATCAGATTAGAGACGCAAGGTTCTTCTAGCGTTGTTTACAGGATGTTACAGCTAATGATTACGACGCCGGGAACTTCTTAATATAGCAAGTCCGGGATGCCCAGATCAAAGGTATTAATTCTTTGTTAAAGTAGCGCTGAGGAGTACTCAACACCTGTAAATTGACCCAAGAACTCCAAAAATATACATCCTTGCCTTAAAAAATCGTCATTTCTTCCATCGATCAGTATGTACTTGTATAATGATTCATCGACTAAATGTGTTCTGCGCGGAGATTGAAATGCAACAGATGCTGGACAACTGTCAACAGTTGTTGAGGAACTGAAGTAGACAGAATATCAAGTTATCAAAGGAAAAAATAGATATCTTGGGTATATTTAAAGCATCTCTGTTACAGAGGACTCAAACTCCTTCACCGCGACATCGGATTTGATATCACATGTCTCTGGAGTTATCCCATCTACCGTAGTCTGTACATTGTCATAAATCTTTCCACTGTCACTACCATTCTCTTTCATCACCGACGCTATGGCGTCGAATGCACGGGATAAATCAGCGATGATATCTTCAACATCTTCTGTACCTACTGATAGTCGGATTAAATCCTGACCAAAAGTTAGTTCAGTATTACTATCTCCAAGTCAAACGACTTACTTCGGTAATTCCAGCACGGATACGGTCTTCTTCGGTCATTATGGAATGCGTGGAGCCCCACGGATGGGTTGCCATGGTCTTGCAATCTCCGACACTTCAAGACAGACATGGTTAGCACCGTGTCCACAGAGAAGTTCTAAGAACGACGATGACCTACTTGGTCATATGGGAAACAAGTCTCAGAGCATTAATAAAGGCTCGACTTCCAACCGGACCTCCTTTGACGCCGAAAGACATCACACCACCAAAGCCGTGTCGAAGATATTTCTTCGCTAAAGCGTGGTATTCGTCGGTTGGCAGTCCTGATTTTATGAGTAAAAGCGCGCGAAGATTGGAGAATCAACATACCGGGGTAGCTAATCCAACCGGTGAGAGGATGTTGGCTCAAGAATTCAGCGATCCGCATAGAATTAGACGCGATCCGTTCACATCGTAGACTCAAAGTCTCGATCCCGACGAGGATCTGATGCGCCGCAAAGGGATTCATCACGGCGCCCACCTCCATCACAACTTCAATGCGCAGAGCTAATGCAAATGCGACATTCCCAAATGCACTGACATACGAAAACGCCATGGGCCCCTCGCTCGGCTTTGTCAAGTGCGGGAACCTGTCGGACTCGTTCCAATTGAAGCGCCCGGAATCGACAATGATCCCACCCACCGTGGTGCCATGACCACCGAGCCACTTGGTGGCCGAGTGGATCACAATGTCTGCACCGTGTTCAATCGCCGGACACCAGAAACCACCAGCGCCGAAGGTGTTGTCTACCTAGTGTCGGGTGAGTATGGATTCGTTTACAGGGTTAACAGGGTCTTACTGCAAAGGGCACTTTGTTCTCGTGTGCAATGTCCGCAATTGCCCTGAGATCCGGTATGCTGATCCGCGGATTTCCTACCGTTTCAACAAAGACCAGTTTCGTGTGATCGTCGATCAGCTTGCGGTAGCTCTCAGGATCGCTGTCTGGCACCCATTTGACTGAGATCCCAAGCCGTGGAAGAATGCATTTGAACAGACTATAAGTACCCCCATAGAGGTTGATTGAGCTGATAATATTGTCCCCGGCGTGAGCGAGACACAGGACTGTCTGGAAGACGCCCGATTGCCCCGAGGCGCAGGCCACAGCAGCAGTGCCTCCTTCGAGGGCAGCTACCCTCTTTTCGAGTACCTCGACCGTGGGCTTTATTGCCGACTTGTATTAGTAGTGACAGCATATACCAACTACCATGTGTATAGACTCACATTTGATATCCGAGAATAGACATAGCCGGCTTCTTCGTTGGTACATACGCGACGCGCGTGCTCGCTATCTGTGAATACATAGGACTAGGAAGAAAACGAGTCAATGGATGAAGATTTCAACTCATTAAAATCAAAGTTCTTACAGCCGTGGAATATATGGGAACCGCTCGGGCCTTGGTCGCTGGGTCGGGTATCGCCCCGGAGTGAATCTGACGAGTATTGAATCCTCGCTGGGATTCCAAGGGCAGATCGACCTTGAAGGGAGCAAAGGGGTCCGCCATTATTGATCAAAGCAGTTCTAATAATTTGTAATACCGGTGCAGCCAGCGACGGTTGGATTATATATATTAGCAAGGATCCAAGAGTAGACAAGTGCCCGTTTCGGACATTGACTGATCTGTCGGCGGCCTAAAACAGTTAAACCCTAAACACCCCGGACGACCGAGGCGCTGAAACATGGATGTTATAGTATATTGGATATCTTGATAGTTTATTATTCAGGTCTCTCCGCATTATTACACCCAAATCCCTTTCTTCATTTTTGTATCATAGACTGCTGGGATCTCTTCCAGACCCTCGCTTGACATGGACCTTCAACACCTTATGCGGCAGTGCAGTTTTGTCTCACGGGACAATCCACTCACGCTATTTGCTGCACTCGCAGGAATAGTTACTGTGGTTTTTATCATCTGGAACAAATGGTCGGGACAGCGACTGGTCGCCGGAGTTCCCATTGTGGGAGGCAAGGACACAGCCACTATCAAGCAAAACCGTCTTCGGTTTGTACACGATGGCAAGAGGATGCTTCAAGAGGGCTATCAAGCGGTGTGTCTTTCAAACCCTATGTCTTTGATAATATAGGATTCATGCTAACCTTTCCACCAGACAAACGGAGGATTGTACTATGTTCCAAGCAAGCTTGGAGAACGGTTGATGCTACCCACGAAGTATCTAGAAGAGCTGAAGTCTGCTCCCATGCACGAGGTTGATTTTGTGGCCACTTTTATTGAGGTATCATGCATTCTGAGCTATATATGTCGTGAATATACTGAGGAGAATAGATGTTCGAGGGAAAGTATACCACCATGGGCAGTCGATCCACTCTTCATCCCAGAGTAGTGCGCAGCCAGTTAAATAAGAACCTCTGTGAGCAGACATACTTTCCTCTCTACTACCGAACTAATCAGTCCAGGGACGGTAATGGAACATGTCCAAGAAGAAGTCAGCGATGTCTTTGACGCCAGCTTTCCCGCATGTGACGGTAAGCCGCCCACTTGAATGCTGGTTTCCAGTGCTAAATACGGTCAACTAGACTGGACGGAAGTGGATGTCGTCGATCGCATCACACATATTGTGGCGCGTGTATCAAGTCGCATGTTTGGAGGCACCACGCTCAGCCGCAACGAGGATTGGGTTCAGTCCTCGATCGACTTTGCCACGGACGGATTCATCGGCGCGCAGGCCTTAAAAAAGTACCCGGAATGGTTTAAACCCATTGCAGCGCGGTTTATCCCCGCCATTCAAAACATCAAGAAGCATTACGAGAATGCCGAAAAGGCGGCCATTCCAATTTTGGAAGAGCGGGCTCGCACTGGGGCTACCGCACCTGATCTGTTGTCTTGGATGGATGACGATGCCAAAGGGACTGAAAAAGATCCGGAGTTTCTGGCTGGGATTCTCCTCAAGGTTAGCTTTGCTGCCATCCACACCAGTGCTGCTGTGCCGACTCAGCTTCTGTATGATCTCTGCGCCATGCCCGAGTATATCGAGCCACTCCGGCAGGAGATCGCGGACAATACAGATCCGAATGGCGTTATTTCGCGCCAGGGGTTCCAGAATCTGTCGAAGCTGGATAGTATCATGAAGGAGAGCCAACGATTCAACCCTCTCCTATTGAGTAAGTATCAATGTCTATCGATAAACACGCCCATTTCATCACTGACCAAATTAGTTACCTTCGAAAGAGTGGTGACCACGGATTATGCCTTGTCAGACGGACTGGTCATCCCAGCCAACACCACGATTGGCATCCCCACGCACGCCATTTCCATGGATGCAGCCTTGTACCCAGAGCCCGAAAAGTTCAATGGCTTCCGGTTCCATGACTTGCAGAAGGAGAAGGATTCCGGAGAGAAAGGCCCGCCGGTGGTATATGCCACCTCGCACCCGTCCAGCATGGCATTCGGATACGGCCGCCACGCATGTCCTGGGCGATTCTTCGCATCGGCCGAGATCAAGGCAATCATGGCCTATCTGATTCGGAACTACGATTTTAAGTTCCCACAGGACAGGCAGGACCGGCCTCCGAGCTTACTGTTTGAGACGCAGAATCTGCCCAATCCGACAGGGAGGGTTATGTTTAAGCGCAGAACCTTGTGATACCATTAAATGATTGAATTACAGTAGCTTAGAATGGCAATATTAAATGGAGTACTACCTCACATCAAGCTATGACCAAAAAAGGCGTTGATAGAACCGCGTTTTGCCCCTTTGGGCAATACCCCGCTCTGCTCAGCCTTGAAGAGGATGGATATGAACTTTCTCGACGTGTCAGCTTAGCAAAATTGATTGCCATCTGTATGAAGCTGAGCTGTCATCATCCCACACAATGCCTTTGACCGATGGGTTCCAGGTTGCTGTTGCTGTACGAATTCCTCACTCATCATCGAAGCACATCGAGTTGACCACATGGACAGATCATCGGCCTTGTCCTCGCCTTTAAATATATTCAATGGCTAAATAATCCTCTCCGACGGTTTCCTGGACCGTGGACTACATCTTTCAGCAATGTACGTATTTCCTATCGGATGCCTGTCTTTTCCGGTCTCACTGACGGCTGTCCACCGACGGGATCCTCCAGGCGCTGTACTCGTGGAATTTCATGCGCGGCCGACAACCTTATCGCCAGTTGGAGCTGCATGAAAAATACGGCAAGCTCATATAACCTTCGTCATCCGTCTCAGTGGCTAACGCGTATCCAGGCCCTGTCGTCCGGGTATCCCCGAATGAACTGAGTTTCAGCACTGCCAGCTCCTGGCGCGACATATATGGCGTCCGCAAGAACGTCGAGCCCTTCATCAAGGGTGAATTCTACGACGGCGGCAACTTCGCTGCCGAGGCGTTGTCTATAGTCAGCGCGCGGGACCCCAAATCGCACGCCGAAATGCGCAAAGACCTGGCCAGCGCATTTTCCGATCGCTCGCTGAAGGCCCAGGAGCCTCTAATTGCCGAGTCGGTTGATCGGTTCGTCGAAAGAATCGGAGAGGCGGGCAACAGCCCTGAAGGCACCGATATGGTAATGTGGTACAATTTGACCACCTTCGATATCATCGGCAGTCTGGCATTTGGGCAGGACTTTGGCGGCGTCGAGTCTGGTACCGAGCACTTTTGGGTGTCGATCGTGACCAAGAGTCTGCGCCTGGGAGCGATGGCGGACTGCTTTCGTCGATTCCCGGCTGCAGGGGCAGTGTTCCAATGGTTATTTTCGGGCTTGATTGAGAAGATGATGGAAGAGAATCGTCGGCATCGGAAGTACACTATGGACTTGGTGCAAAAGTGAGATTCTTCTTGAAGATGGTGATTCTTGAGACTGATCATCTTTGTCATAGACGCCTAGCGAGTAAGAGCACACGCAAGGACTTTCTGACCAAGATCATCGAGGGGCGAGAAGATACTGGTATCTCAGCTGTTCAGATTGCAGCACATTCATCGGACTTTGTGTTCGTCTTTGTTCCTTCAGCGCGTGGTTGATCATGCTAACATTTATAAATATAGCATTGCCGGCAGCGAGACCACCGCCACGACAGTGTCCTGCATGACCTACTATCTCCTGCGCAACCCAGATATCATGAAGCGTCTCAAAACAGAAATCCGCACCGCATTTACTCGATATGAAGAGATCGACGCCGCAAGCACCACTTCCCTTCTGTATCTTCGAGCGGTAGCTCAAGAGGCTATGCGTGTTTACCCTCCACTGCCGCTTGCGCTACCCCGGGTGGTCCCAGCCAGCGGGAGCACGGTGGACGGCCATTATGTCCCTGGGGGTGTAGGTGATCTGCTGTTTGTATTGGAGAAAAAACTGACGAGTTGAGCAGACTATTGTATCCACGAGTCCATTCGGCAGTAGTATGTCGTCGGCTAACTTCAACGATCCGTGGGAATTCAAGCCGGAGCGATGGCTAGGGAATAATGTGAGCGACGATCTCGAAGCCAGTCAACCGTTCTCGCTGGGCCCGCGGTCGTGCATGGGTCGAAGGTAAGTAGATGTTTAGTATTCATTCATTGACCAACATATGGGCTGACTGATATTCCCTTGATGAAGTCTCGGGTGGATGGAAGTGCAGACAATCATGGCTAAGGTGTTGTTTCGATATGATTTGGAATTGGTAGATCCGGATGTCGACTGGCATCGGGATTCGCAGATGCATACTTTATGGGAGAAGCCTCGCTTGATGGTGCGAGTGTCGCCTCGACAGGAGTAATCTCATCCGTGTTTGAGTATCAAGTGGGATTGACATGTTTACAAATCGACTCCTAACAAACTGTTTCCATGCAAAGAATGAAATGAACTTTGCTTAGAACCACAGTATTCCATATGCTCTATACATGATCCGGACCGGCACCAGAAGGGTAAATATCTCGATCTTATAGTAGTATAGAATATAAAATGTCCATCTTCATATTATCTGACCTACTGCATCGTAGTATCAAACAGTATATTTGATATGACTGATACACAAAAGATCATCTATTAAATACTCCGAAAGTCCGTAGCAGTTTGCTGCAACCGCGTCAACCGTGTATTCTCCTCTCCAAACCACTGCGGCCGTAAAGAAGCAATAGGCTCCTCCAGCTCCGTATACCGATCACCCAGCGTCAAGATCGTGCGACCATTCCACCGGGACTCCTCATCGTCTCCGCTGTCTTTGCCATACTCCTCGACCAACCGCTTTTGGCGCGCCACTGCGGAATACACCACTGCCAGCCCGACAAACTCGGCCGTACTCACTGGGAGCCCTGCTGCGATGATTGGCGCAGCCAGATTACCCGGCAACAGTGCGGTGATGGTCGCGGCCGGGGCCACGCTGTTGATGGTGATGTCTTCGGTGCGGATAGCCGAACGGAGTGCTCGAAGGAGCCCGATGAGCTGGATGGGTTCGTTAATTGGGTTTTGCAGTAGAAGCTAGAAGTTGAATAACTTACAGCAAACTTGGAGGCCCCGTACACCGGTAACGACTGCTCCGGTGCATAGGCAGTCGCGCTGGACGTGATGACGATGCTACCAGGGCATTTGCGGTGTCGGGAGTGGCTCAACGCCAGCTTGGTAAAATTCAGAACACCACGCAGGTTGACGTCCAACACGCCATATTTCGGCTCGAGCAGTTCATCATTTTCATCGAACGTGTCGGCGAAGTAGTCGGTCTCTTCGGACACCCCGGCATTTGACACCGCGATGTCAATGTCGCCGGCGTGGTGGAACGCCTGCTTTAAATCGGACCACTTGGAAACGTTGCAAGGGTAATACTCAATGCTGCTGTGAGTATCCGCTGGGGGCGGGTTGATATCGAGATCCAGAACCGTGGCGCCCTTTTGTGCAAAGATCGTTGCTGCGGCCAGTCCGATGCCCGATGAGCCACCGGTGAGAATGACTCGTTTTCCGGTCAGATCAGGGATATCGCTGACGTCGATGTTGAGTGAAGTCATTGTATCTGTAGATTGAGCATACGAATAGGGTTGGGTGGACGGTTTCTAGCCGTGAATGCCTAGATATTGTATATCGGCCAGTCGGCCTCCTCGGAGTATCCCAATGGAGGTTACCCGAATTTGGAAGCCCGGAGATTAGGAAGCCATATATCTCGAATTCCCTGAGCAGGTAAAAGATTTCCTCAGTCTCGCCAACTTCAACATGACAGTTCTCGCGGTACTTTTGTGGCTGATTCGTCCGTGCGCTGCATCACCAGCTACGGGATCATTCACTCCAATGATTGACTTGGGATATGCATTACATCGCGCCAGGGTCTCTGTGAGTAGTCTACGTCCAATAGAATTTTTGGAAGTTTATCATATAGAACCATAGCCCAATGGAATAACCATCCCTTCACCTACATCCACTGTACCTCCAATCAATGAGGCCCGATCCGTAGCCCCTGCAGCCCCCACCCCATTGCAGTGCCATTCAGAATGGTGAGGAAGATGTTATGTGCCGTCAAGTATTGTCAACCTGATTGCATACAGTCATAGAATCTATCGAGGGCTTCAGTTTTACCAGCACCCCTGAATCGACTAAAGCGATCCACTGGTATGATCGAACAACTGAGCAGGACATATGATGAACCACAACGCGATGATCTTTCTGCCCCGGTGTCATAGCTGGTTGAAGATGTGGCAGTGATTGGGCAGGGATTATGAGTCATTATGAATCGTTGATTGTCACCATTTCGAGTCTAGACTAGAAGGAGGAAAGGCCGATGTAACCCGCTGGATAAATATAACTGTATCACCAGATCGTTAGTCTCGTTATCGATACCAATATCAAAACAAACAAAATGGAAAAAACGCGTGTCTTCCCTTCTTCTCGTCCGCACCAGCCCTATTCAACCCCGCTTTCAATCCTCGACGCCACAGTTGTTCGTTACGCTCCTACGGGCGCGATATGGCTGTTCGAACACATTCCCGAAGGTGTCAGCGAAACTGAATTCCTTGACCGTTTGCACTCGTCTCTAGAGGATGCCCTCAATGACTTTCCACACTTTGCAGGCCAGCTGCAGTGGGCACCGTTTCGGCCGGGCGGTTCACACACTGAGCGCTTTAACCGACCCATAATTACCTATGGCGATGAAAAGGACCCCGGTGTCGAATGGAGCGTCGTGCGACATTCAACCATCTCGCTACAGTCGCTGGCGCCGACGGCGTCAGAAAGAGCATCCGGAAAGGGGGTCTGGATAGGAGACGAATTTGCGCAGAGCCTGTTCCTCTCGAATACGTCGTTGCCATTGCACGATCTGCGAGAATGTGAAGGTCTCCCTGCCGTGCAGATCCAGCTCAATCTTTTCAATGACGGGGGATACGGTATTGGTGTCAAAATGGTCCATTCCTTGGCCGATGCACAAGCATTGATGGTGTTTGTCCATCACTGGGCCGCCAAAAGTCGCAAATCGTTCTCTTCCCCCGATACCTCGTCTCTCATGGATGCGCCCGTCTTCAATCCAGCCTTACTAGACGCACGTGCAGCAGGGGATATTGATGAACCAGCTGCTGATCCTGTATTGGTCTCTACCGCTCGCCAGCTCCCACTCCACCGGTTTGACTGGTGGCGCACCAATGCCCCCGGCTACCCGCCTTTTTCGCTACCAACGACAGAGAACTCCAAACCATCAGCGGAAACCCTCTCCCTGATCGAACTATCGCCCTCCACCTCCGCGCCGTGGTTAACGTGGGACTTTTCCCGGCCGGTGCGGTACACACAACTGCACTACCCGGGACCCGAGCTCGACCGTCTGAAGGAACAGGCGCGCGCGGACGGTCGCTCAGACATATCGCGGTTAGATGCATTGCTGGCCCACATCTGGTCGGCGATCAACCGCGCGCGCGGCCATAGCGATTCAACCGAGGACGTCTTTCTCAACCTCACGCTCGGAGTGCGGGCACGTGTATCGCCTCCGTTGCCCGAGTCCTTCATGGGCTCGCCGCTGTTCCTCGCTCATATTAAGTCTTCGGGTGCGTCTGCCTGCGCTTCGAGTGTAGGCCAAACAGCAAGCGAAATTCGGGAGACAATGCTCCGTTTCACGCCCGACGTGGTGGGCGCCATGCTGCACGATGCGGCGCATGAGGTGTGCCCGCAACGGCTGTGGCAAGCGTTTCTGGGTACACAGCATACCATAGTGACGTCTTGGTTGCGGCTTAAGGTGTATGAAGTGGACTTTGTTGGATCCAAGGAGCAACCTCGATATGTGCATGCCGTGATGCCTAAGATGGATGGCTGTTTGCAGGTCATGGATCCCGGGGTGAATGATGGGGGCGTCGATATTGCATTGTATTTAGATGGAGAGGCGATGGAAAAGCTGCTAGTTGATAGACAGCTACATGTTTGAGTATATTAGATTTAGTAATAACATGAGTTCGTGCGTCGGATTACCATTTTATATGGAAATTTCGATAGCCATTGACACGATGCATATGCCAGGTTCGGCTGTTTGTTGATTATAAGGTTCAAACGATTGTTGTATACTTGATCATGCATTTTGACATGGCATCTCCAGATGGTCAAGACCGTCTAAAGCCTATCACGTCTGACGATTCCGTCAAACCTTATCAGAATCACAAAGTGCTGTATATATGCGGTGACTGATCAGTTATCAGATTTGGAATTAGGATTTGAGACTATAATTAATCAGAGTTTATCACTGGTATCTTTCTTCTTATAATTACTCTACAGGATAAAGCTCTGTTTAGTATTAAGTTAATAGAGGATTTAGCTTAATTTAATCTTCGTGACAGGCAATACATAGAAATATCACTTCATTGGAAAGACAGTGCCTTGAATTAACCTGTTTTCAGAAATATCACTGCCCAAGGCGCTCAAGAGGCAGTGCTCCACAGATCCTGCTACTGTCAGGTTTCAGCCCTCGGGATGAGCTGGCGAAGCATGACATTACCCTGGTAGACGGTGTGAATCCCCCAGATATGGGACATAATCTCTGTGAATACTTTTCTTTCATGTAGTGGTGGAAACGCGATACTCTGAGCAGTGATTATCAATCAGGACTCTGCTTTGGAATCATCTGGTACATGTGAGCGGGCTTCTCTGTGACTGGATTGTGATGCTGCAGGCGCCGCAGGGGCACGCATGCGCTCAAAGTTGATGGGGAGACGAGGGAGCTCGACGGACACCTGTGTTTGTCGTCTAAGCCTAGTCATATCAAGGCATTAATCATGTATGCACCTGTGTTAGCGAATATTGTGGGGGCGGATATCCCGATGGATGGCACGCATATTGCTTCGGCGGTTGGAAGCTCGATGTCCAGCTGGTCTTTGGTACCCCTGTCGGTGGTCCTCTCGGGAAGACTTTCGCTCCTATCGACGACCGCTTCAAGGTGTACGGAAAGTCTGCATAGATTATACATATCTAGACATTTTCATTAGCGATAAATCATGAACAACTTAAGACTTTAACCCTAGCCTTTTATATCTATTTATTTCTCAAAGGCCCCAAATCCCTATCAACCCCCCTCTTCACACTCCTAGCCCTCTTCACCAATCTCCCCGGATGCCAGATAATCCAAAGCCCCATAAGAACCGCCATCAACCCCCCATCAAAAACATAGATATACACCTCGCGCTGACGCACATCCGCCCCCTTCGGCGCCCCAAATTCCACCGTCCTCACCAAATTCCTCACAATCATACACCCACACACCACATAAAGACACCACATATACCTCCTCCACCCAAACCCCGCGCCATCCAGCTCAACAGAAACCCTCGTCGGATAAGCTGCCAATCTCCGCTGAAATTTCACCGCAACGGCCACAAATCCGATAAACACAACAAGAGTAAACACCAATCCGGCCAAGACCGCCTTGGTCCCAATATCAATGATATGCACATCACCCGTGACTTGTAACCCGGCACCCACGAGCTGCGTCAGAAGACAGATAACATCGTTCAGCACGAAGAGCACCGTCAGCCGCTTGGGACGGATTGGCGAGTGGTCCTCGGCGCCTAGGGCTGTGATTATCCGTGATAATGTCATGTATACGCTTGCGGCTAGGAGTGGCGGTGCGCAAAGGAGGAGCATCTGCTGTTGAGCCCACGGGCCGATTCCCGTTCGGTCGTTGTGAGAGCGTGCGCGGCCGTAGTAGCCGAATGTCTCGCCTGGTTTTGCTGTTAGATTTGCGGTTTTTGATGGTTGTATGGGTAGTAGATGGAAGGGAAGGGGAGGGCTTAGGACGTACATATTCCGCCGAGGACAAAGGGGATAAAGTATGCTGCTCTGTATGGGAACATGAGGACAATGTGTGCGAGAGTTGCGAGGCCAAAGATGGCCATGAAAGCGTATCCGGCTGTGAGAGAGGGGTTGTAGGGGTAGAATTCGACCCAGGGATCTGAGCCGTTGACGCCTGGATGGAAGGTAAAGTCCATTTTGATTTAGGGTGAGTTCTGTCAGTAGGTAAAATGAAGAGTGATAGTAAAAGCTTTTTAGAATAAGAAGGCTGTTCTGGATAACATGGCTGTCCTTTATACGTAGTTAGGGTCTACTGAGCGTTTCAACTGGCTACCGCTTTGGGTAATCTGGAAACGAATACGAGTGGAGCGGCAAAGCTTCGGTGCGGATCATGCAGGGTTTGAATGGAGTCGCGTTATTTTTAGGATCATTATACACTCTATCGGCATTTCTCATTCCACTTTTCAGTACCATACTATACTGTATCCTTGTTATTGGATAATCCCTGATCAAGGCAACAATATACTCTGATAACCTTGATCCTGCAGTTTCGGAAGTGGGTCCCTTTGACGTCCTATACTTGGGTATATATGTACATTTTCATTAGGGCACATAAGCAACAATCTCCTCCGGCCATTCAACCCACGCATGATACGCCTCAGGGAGGCACGCCTTGATCCCCAAGACGATATGCTGGTCCCACCGTTCCATAAACCAACAGCCTCTCATATACCGTAGCAGGATAGCCCAATGCGCAAGAATAATTAGCGCAATCGGCTCCTTTTCTTCCAGCTTCGTGATCATCATATCAGGGAGTCGAAACGTCCATCCCATAGCGTACGGCATCAGGTCCGTTGGGTGGTACCCGGTCCTCCGTCGCCGGTATGCTTCCTCAAAGCACTCAACCAAGTTATCCACAACGCCAACATAGACTTCCCTGTTTCTTTCTGTCTCGGGATTAGCCATTTCCCTGACTTCTTGAAGGCGCTGGATATGCCGAGACAATTCCTCGTCCAGCCCAGGGGCGCGCATGTCGATATCTAAACCTGGGCTCTCATTATGCGGTTCTAGCACGCCAGTGAAGATCTCCTCACTTTTCTGGGCTAATATCGACCGCACCCCATGTAGTAGTACTAACCACTCTGACTTTCCATTGGCATTGAACACCAAGTACTCGCCGTCACGCGGGCCGCGCGCAAAATACGCAAAACAAATCATGATGGCTGCTATATAGATATACTGACAGCTCTGCGAGTTCAGCGTATCCAGAGCAAGAACAGCCGTAACAGAGCGCACGCCGAACATAAAATGCTCGTCTGCTTGACGCGTATACGTTCCCCGTCTGGCGGGGTTCAGATATGCAAGATGGAGTGCCGATAGTGCGAGGAGGAGATGCAGGATTGAGGGAAATGACATGCCCCATTGAGGGACATGGATTTGCCAGACCTTTTGGGGGTCTTTTGCTTCATTTGCCATTGTACTTGAGGTTGCTGTGGTGAAGTGGTGGAAGAGATGGAGGTCCTCTAGGGAGATTCCCCCTCCTGGAGCCGTCACCAAGTGACTGGTTGGAGGAGAAGGGGGATCGCATTGTACTGCGATAGAGCGGCAATTATCTTCATCCTGTGATGGCGAAGGTGCTAGTGTCTGGTATTTTGACTGCCGGAATTGGTACCGTTGTGGTGGCGTTGAGCCGGCTGAAGGGGACCTGGAGGATGGAATTTGGAAGTCACAGCTGATAGAGTGCAACAAGCAGTTATTGCAACTTGGTTTCTTTTCATCGCACTGGTTTTATGTTAATCTTGCCAGATGTTAAGAAATGATTTCCCGAGTCTTACCTTGACGCGGCGCTTCTTGCAATTCCCACATCCAAGACGAGATTTGCGATGTGTCCGCCGCGATCGACTTTTCTGGTTGATTTGTTCGCTGTCCATATCCATTCTGTGATGTATACAAATGATGGAGGATGTGGTGGTGAAAAGTCGTCGTATTCGTTTCCTTTTAGCCGCTTTGGTAATATTGCTGCCTGGATGCCTGACAGTCTGGTCCCCTGCATGCCAATGCCGCTGCCGGTGAAGCTGCAACTCTTCAATACCTCCATTCGGAAGAAATACCGGTGCCAAAGCTCTATGGCTAAAATGAGGTGAATATTCCTGCCGCGAAGCAGAATCGCTCCTGCTTTAAATGACATGCTCAGACATGCCTTTTATAAGGGATTAGGCATCATGAACATGTTCTCTATCTAGACCATTAATAAGCAGCCTTGTCCGGGCTCTCTAGCCGTGCATCGCCAGAGTATTAGTGAGATTATTAAGACCATAATGTAAATCCCTGCCGAGCTGGCTGTTACGGAAACCTAACGTGGTCAACACCCCACGAAGGCAGCACAGCTTACTCAGTGCACTCACTCCTTGCTCAATGATCGCCTCAGGCCGCTCAGGGTGTGGTCAGATCTACTCAGTGAGCAAAAAGCGACGAGGGGTGAGCACCCAAACGGAAAGGGAAAGCCTTCGAGCTGGCGAGAAAATCAAGTACGAATGTAGTCCAAATCAAACTGAAGGCAACAGGATATTCTATAGATAGAGTGGGCATGTGCAAGTAAATAATATACTACTTCCTACCCTTTCTATCTGTCCTTATGAACAATAAGCCTCAAATAACGCTCTCTATTTAGTGGACAACAGTCACATTTGAGTGTATACATTGGTGCATACTGCATCAAGACTAGCTCAATGCAAAGCCGTTATTTTATACAACGGTATCAAGTGAATCTCACCAAGCACAAATCTGGGAGTAGGCAGTGAGTTGGCAGCATAGAACTATCATTTCTGTCCACTGATGACACATGATCATGCGCATGTCCCATGTTTCAATCAATTTCATCTGTTTTATACTTGGCAGCAGAGCACCCCCCCTCCCCTCTAGCGTTTCACACACACCATGGTCCTCGCGCCTCTTCCCCATTCGTACTTGAATCCTGGCTTGGATAGGCAATTGGTCACAGCCTCCCTTCGGGACTTCTACTTACGGTGTGAGAAGTAGTGAGACCGGTATATAGTCTGGAGACGAGTGGAATCTAAGTATATAATCTCAGGGCTGGTAAAGATCACCTTGGATACGTTTTTCAGTATCATATTTTGTACAACCATCAACATGTCATTTTCGCTTTCTTATCTCCAAAGCCTCCTTTATTCCGCCACAATTGGCCAGATAACATCCGCCCTGGGCTATCAACACGCCATTCACCCCGTCCTCGGCCGGCAAAGCGACCTTCTGCCTTCCTTCCCAGCACAGTCCCGGGCAAAGAAAAGCGAGGCTCCAATCCCGTCACGCTTCACGCCAAAATGCCAACCCCTCTGTACCGAGATCATTAAGCAGGTCGATGGATACTTCCTCACACATTGGCCTTTCAAAAATGAAAAGGCCCGAAAGAAGTTCGTGGCGGCGGGGTTCTCATACGTGACAAGTCTATACTTCCCCATGGCGAAGGATGACCGCATCCACTTTGCGTGTCGGCTCTTGACCTTGCTGTTTTTGATCGATGGTCGGTTATACAGCACAAGCTCCTACAATGATGTGTCTGACATTAGCAGATCTTCTCGAGGATATGTCGTTTGACGAAGGCTCGGCCTATAATGAAAAGCTAATGCCGATTGCCCGCGGGGAGGTTCTACCCGATCGAAATGTCCCCGTGGAATGGATCATGTATGATTTGTGGGAGAGTATGCGGGCTCATGATCGAGTCCTGGCAGACGGAATACTCGAACCCACTTTTACGTTCATGCGAGCCCAGACAGACAAATCTCGCTTGACTATCAAGGAAATGGGTCCGTATCTCACATATCGTGAGAAGGACGTTGGGAAAGCGTACGTCTACATCAACCATACTCCTGATGAATTGCAGGATATTAACTATGGCCCATATTCAACAGTCTATTATGTGCCCTGATGCGATTCTCCATGGAACTCCACATCTCCCCCGAAGAAATCGCTTCGGTCCGGGAGATCGAACAAAACTGCGCCAAACATCTCTCCGTGGTAAACGACATCATGAGCTGGGACAAAGAGTATCTCGCCTATCAGACAGGACACCCGGAAGGCTCTGCTATTTGCTCTGCGGTGCAAGTCCTCTCCGACGAGACCAGTCTGTCTTATGCGGCGTGCAAGCGGGTCCTGTGGGTGATGTGTCGCGAGTGGGAAAATAGACATGAGGTTCTGGTGGCTAAAAGGCAGACTGATAGTGCTGTTCCCTATGGTGAGAATTTGAAGCTTTATGTCAAGGGATTGGAGTACCAGATTAGTGGGAATGAGTTGTGGAGTTTGACTACTCTTCGCTATAACTCGCCTAACTAGCACGATTGTTCTGTATATATGATGTTTATATATATGGTGTTTTTCAATTAATGAAAATTTTGTGGTGATTTGATATCTCTACTGAATAAGTCCTCTATCCTCTGTTAATATGAATTCTGTACAAATTGGAATAGAACAAGCAACACAGAGCATTTATGGTAGGTACCTATTTACAAAAGACCCAGAAGTTTTGACCAATCAAATCTAGTGTCCCGATGGGCCGATCCGATCTAGCCCTAAACGTTCATTTGCGAGCTCGGGCCGAGTACCAAACAGTACTAGCTGTTGGAAGTTGAACCCAGTGTACTATGACCAACTCCATACTGGAATTCCGACCTGGAGCAATTGCCTGATGATGATGATGATGATATTGTTTAACCGCGGGCGTCAACCCCACAAAAAAGAAGAAAACATACAACAGCCGGGATTCGCATGTGGTCACCCACCATACTACTAACCGGCCGGCGTGTGGCTTAAGTACGGCTGAGCGGACGGGAAGCCCTGTTCTCCACACCCTATGGTCGTATGTACT